TGGCAGTACCGACAGAAGTGAGTGAGTGAGTTGAGTTTTACGCCGCTTTTAGCAATATTCCAGCAACATCACGGCGGGGGACACCAGAAATACGCTTAACACATTGTACCCATGTAGGGAATCGAACCCGGGTCTTCCGCGTGACGAGCGAACGCTTTAACCACTAGTCTACCCCACCACCCCTGTACCGACAGGAGATCAGGCTTGATAACACAGTAGTGAAATTGTACACTTGGTATTAACATGTACATTTGTAGGGGATCATGAAATATTCATATTAACACCAGATGAGTGAGTATTGTTTTACACCGCTGAAATATCCAGAAATATCACTGCGGGGGACACCAGAAATGGGCTTCACACATTGTACCCATGTGCATGGGGAATCGAACCCGGGTCTTGGGCGTTACGAGCGAACGCTTTAACCACTAGGCTACCCCACCGCCTCTATTAACACCAAGTATTAAACAAAGATATGTGTTGATGACCAAAATCTATGCAACAAACGCTTATGTCTGTGAAATCTTTTTTGTTTATACAGTTGTGATATATTTGATTTCACTCAGTCTCTGTTTAGGAACTAAAACTACAATGCAAGGGTATGCTAGAAACTCACAAAGGTCAGCGTGCAGTGATCACTCCGTTCAATGTCTCATGTTCTTAGATCAGCGGACGGTCGAACAGTGACCAATATACCAATAATGCTGATGTTCCGGACGTCCCAGGTCATCGCCGAGAGTATTGACTGATTGAGCGGACCTCAATCCGTATTGTGTAGAGATGTCAATGGACAGTGCTGTCGGGACTCCCTTTGATCGTAAGGAAGATGCGTGGGGCCACGTTTTGTCTTCTGGGATGGCGTCGACCTGCTCACCTTGGCTGGCAGGAAGATGAGTATGTCAACATCATTGCCGACCACGTTGGTTGACAGGAAGATGAGTATGTCAACATCATAGCCGACCACGTTGGTTGACAGGAAGATGGGTACGTCAACATCATAGCCGACCACGTTGGTTGACAGGAAGATGGGTACGTCAACATCAAAGCCGACCACGTTGGTTGACAGGAAGATGGGTACGTCAACATCATAGCCGACCACCTTGGTTGACAGGAAGATGGGTACGTCAACATCAAAGCCGTCCGCGTTGGTTGGCAGGAAGATGAGTACGTCAACATCATAGCCGATCACGTTGGTGGGCAGGACGATGGGTACGTCAACATCATAGCCGATCACGTTGGTGGGCAGGACGATGGGTACGTCAACATCATAGCCGATCACGTTGGTGGGCAGGACGATGGGTACGTCAACATCATTGCCGACCACGTTGGTTGGCAGGACGATGGGTACGTCAACATCATAGCCGATCACGTTGGTGGGCAGGACGATGGGTATGTCAACATCATAGCCGATCACGTTGGTTGGCAGGAAGATGAGTATGTCAACATCAAAGCCGATCACGTTGGTGGGCAGGACGATGGGTACGTCAGCATCAAAGCCGACCACGTTGGTTGGCAGGACGATGGGTACGTCAACATCATAGCCGATCAAGTTGGCTGGCAGGAAGATGTGTATGTCAACATCATAGCCGATCAGCTTGGCTGGCAGGACGATGGGTATGTCAACATCATAGCCGATCAGCTTGGTTGGCAGGAAGATGGGTACGTCAACATCATAGCCGATCAGCTCGGTTGGCAGGAAGATGGGTACGTCAACATCATTGCCGACCACGTTGGTTGGCAGGAAGATGGGTACGTCAACATCATTGCCGACCACGTTGGTTGACAGGACGATGGGTACGTCAACATAAATGAAGCCAGACCACGTTGGTTGAAATTTCTTCAAACAGGACGATGGGTACAACATATTTTACAAAATGGTAAACCCGATCACCTTTGTGATCTTGCTTGGTTGACAGGAAGATGGGTACGTCATCAAGTTCATTGCCGACCACGTTGGTTGGCAGGAAGATGTTAGTACGTACGTCAACATCATTGCCGACCACGCTGGTTGGCAGGACGATGGGTACTTCTTCATCAGCCGACCACGTTGGTTGACAGGACGATGGGTACGTCAACATCATAGCCGACCCCGTTGGTAGACAGGCGCTTCAAGAGGGGCGGTCAGTCACCCTCGAACCGTCAACATGCCTCTCCGAGTAAATGATAGTTGACAGATCGTGGCAGACTGACGTTCTGCAAGTTGAAAAAGATCCTCTTTGAAATTTCTTCAAATTTCGAAACTATATCATGAGACAAACCTGACTTCTTTAGCGAAACGGAGAGAAATTTCTAAATTAACATTATTTTACAAAATGGTAAACCATATGGTTCCTGACTACCTTTGTGATCTTGCTCCAGGGAATGTTTCTGATAACAGTAACTACAATCTTAGGAATAATTAAAATTATCAGACTATAAGATGCAAATCTGCTAATTATGCTAAATCGTTTTTACCCGATACAATTAAACTGTGGAATGACCTACCTACAAATGCGACAAAACGCTTCCTCTGTTGGACAGCTTAAGAATCTAATCACACCACAAGTTAATACCGACACAATGTTCGATCTAAATTTTGGTTGTCGATTCTTAGATTTTAGATTGGGATGCAGTGACTTAAACAGTGATAAGTATAATCGTCTCATTTCTGATAATTTCTTGTTCCTGCTCACAAGATTATGAGGATGTATTCCACTATTTTTTCATCTGTCCTAAATATGATAGCATTCGAAACGAATCTTAATTTCTATGAAAAAGGTTTCTCCCTGCAGGATGTGCTAAATGGTAATAACTCAGTATCACATCAGACGAATATGGATATTCTACAGTCAGTCCATCAATTCATTATTACATCAAAACGATTTGATTCATAAAAGTTTTTGTAGTTTTTATTATTTTCCTATTTGTATCAACTGGCCACGAAACAAAACCAAGATAAATTGTTGATATCCAAGATTGTTATTATTCAGAGATAACTTGTTATAATTATTATAAAAATGTACATTACGCATAAATGTGAATCTTCACATGTATTATGGAGCGGCATTAATATAAGCCAATTAGGCTTGTTTGCCAATCCTTTTCTTTCTTCTTGAATGGAATAATATATGTTTAAACCAAATTTCTTATCTTAGCCCTATCGTCCATCAAGATCACTAGCAGCTATAACATTCACTGTCATAATGTGTTCCAACTGGTTTGGGTGGTTGGGTAGCTGAAGACCCGGGTTCAAATCCCCACATTGGTACATTATGTTAAGTCCATTTCTGGTGTCCCCGCTGTGATATTGCTGTGATATTGCTGGAATATTGCTGGAATATTGCTAAAAGCAGTGTAAAACCTTACTCACTCACCCACACCAATTCGTTTAAATTTGAGACATCGTCGTTTAGCCAAACACCCGGTGTTAAATTGAAATCCTGGCGTTTGATCGAGGAAATCCGGTTTGTTTCCCTGTCGGACAGCTCCATACTGCTCTTCTCCGAACGTCGACCTTTAAGCACCTAGTCATCAGTGTCAGGCTTTCCGACCTCACGTGGCCAACACGTCCCTGAGATAACTGACCCACTCTTCACAGGTGTGTCAAACTATAGGCAAAGTAAATCTATCTACATGGAGATACTAGCTGATAGAGTCGAGAAATACGTTAGTACATGCTGGGGCAACAGAATCACCTGTCATTTTGGTTGTAATATTATACTTAATATTCCACCCACTTTACAGCGAACCGGTGAATGTCCGGTTAGAATGTTGATCTTCAGTTGCCCATGCTCGTCGTAAGAGGCGACTAAGGGGATCGGGTGGTCAGGCTCGCTGACTTGGTTGACACATGTCATCGGTTCCCAATTGCGCAGATCGATGCTCATGCTGTTGATCACTGGATTGTATGGTCCAGATTCGACTATTTACAGACCGCGGCCATGTAGCTGGAATATTGCTGAGTGCAACCAAGTCGGCGAGCCTGACCACCCGATCCCATTAGTCGCCTCTTACGACAAGCATGGGTTGCTGAAGACCAATTCTAACCCGGATCTTCACGGGTCAATGCCATTGTCTGGCATAACATTGTTTTTTGCGAGCCTCTCTAAGTTTTGCAGTCGCGTTTATCTTGTTTATATTTTTTAAAAATGAAATAACAGACGCCCTGAATAACATCATTCAAATCTAAGTCATTTCGTCACTATGACTTTTTCTGTTTGTAAGAAAACAGATGAACACATATTAATCACAAAGTCCAAAGAAGTTTCTTAAAGTGTAATATTTCTTCATTACATTTTAAGAAACTTCTTTGGATTTTGTGATTAATATGTGTATGTGCGCAGACTTGGTGTCGTTATATGGCTGAAATAATGCCGATGTGACGTAAAACGTTAACTCACTCACTCGTCACAAAAATGAAAATGGGTCATGTGTACAGTCACTAGAATATTTACGTACGCTTTGGGGCTATTTACAAAATTATGGATACTATTTTATTTTCATTTTAGAGAATTGGGATTTTCATTTTAAAGAATTCGGTTTTTCTGTAAATTCTCTGCTTCAGATTCTCTTTACCGAGGGATTAGACGCGTTTCAAGGACAATATTCAATCTGAACTATTTGCATAAATACAGGATGATAGAAGGTTTAGTGTTAGCTATGATCAATATAATCCTCCCTTATGGTCGAATTTATTGACATATGTATACTTTATAGAGAGTGCACTTATTGACCTGGCAGAGTTTTAAACAGGTCTTCTTAAAAAACTCAATTCCTACTGAGATATAAACAAATAGTGGGAGTGATTGTACTTCACGTGCGTGGGAGTGTTCGTGCGGGACACGGCGCTCCAAACATAGTGTTATAACATATTTACATTACTTTGCCATACACTGCGCATCCTTAAGACGTTGTACGGAGCAGTATACTCGTTTACCAATAATCGACTCCTTTCTGGATCTGCAACTTGTGTTAGCAGATTGGTGATAAGAAATAGAATGTGGTCATTTGAATAATAAGACAATGTCACGCACAGATAAGAGACTGAAATTAATAAAGAGAACAAATGGGAAGTTTGCATACACATGCAAGACATCTGTGTCATTATATACAGAAAATTCATTGTGATTCGTGCTTGTTTACTACCTAGCGACATCGGCCATGACAATGTTTGTCTCATCGGTACACAGGTGAGGTGATTGATGCGCGTGAAATTAACACCTGTACTGACGACATCACAGACGCCGTCTCAGCACGTCGTTGCCAAGGCCACGACGCACCGGTCGATCGATGGTTAGCGAGCGACAGTTTTGACTTACATGATACAATCAACAAGTAGGTCGCGAGACATCACGTTGTCGCTCCAAGATTTAATGATATTTTCATTACGAAGAACGCTGTTCTATCACCCATAAAGCAACAGGACGTCTTTTTACTAAACCTTTCCAGTTTTTCCCTGACAGGCGACTGATTGAGAAGGTAAGAGAATGAAGGAAGAACTGATTCGTCACCGAGGAAGTAGGGCAAAATGACACAATATTACCCTACTTTGTACTCGGTGTAGCCATTGTGAATACTGTCAGGTGGATTATGTAGGGCACTTGGATATTTCCCATATATTCCACATGTCTGTCATAATGACCAGAACATAACGGTTTAAATATTGGTCCCATATTTGAATATTACAAAGATATGCTCATTTCTGTCAGCTATGAAAATTTGCTGAACCATCATAATTGTTTAAGTGAGACTTCAGCTAATGATAGCATATCTATCTATAGTGAATGTACATCTAGAGAGGTTCACAGTAGTCTCAATAAGGTGTTTGGATGTTTTGTTCATTGTATATAAGACAAACATATGTATATCTATATATATATATATATATATATATGCATACGCTCTTTGAACATGATGGCACAGGATTGATTAATGTGCAATGACAAATTCTCTCCAGGAGAGTTTTATTCAGTTAAAAGAAGGAAGAAATGTCTGAGGGCAAGTCTACATTATATTTCACTGGTTTGCAGAGTCGGTTTTCCTGCTTCAAAGAGACAAATGTTTAATTTGTTTAAATATTTTGTCATTTTTATTCTGTTCCAACTTGTAGAAAAATAAAAGATTTGAGAAATTGTTTCAAAATGAGTCAGTCAAGTGATACTGATCTGTTACAACTACAGTCTCTATACGTTCACTTGTCCTATTAGCTCGGATGAGTCACGATGGGTAAAGTGAAGTGTGGAATACACTACATTGTGAGGAGGGATATGTTACCGCACATCACACTTCCAGCACATTAACTGGGGTAGCTATAAGTGCCAGCTAAAGAAGATGATTTGAAGCGTTGATACAGTTTTCCGACAAGAAAGGTTATTTTATGATGAAATCTTATGTCTAAATGTATGAAATCTTTTGATCATTGTGTTTGGTGGTTGTGTTATATATATTGAAAACACAAAATAAGTTGTATATACTTTTACAATCCATTATGTTGTGAAGATCACATGTATAAAACCTAAAATGTTGAAATTGTTTTGTCATTGTATCGCATGGTAACAATCACTGGATTGTCTGATCCAGACTCAATTTGTTTACAAACAACATCGTACAAGCTGTAGTACTGCTGAAACAAATATATACTCATTATATTGTCACTAATTGCATAATCAGTTCTGCTTTATACAGAATTACACCTTGCACTGTATAGTACACATACACATAAGTACACATGTACTGATACAAGTCCTATTTCTGCAATCTTGTGGATAAGAAACATGTATTAATGTTTTTATCATTCAGATAGCGTGTGTATCTGTATAAACAGATCCAACTCAGTGGGTTACTGTCAAGATGCCACCAGGAGCTATACCCTTCCCATTTGGAGACTGTCGCATCTGTAATGACAGAGCTACTGGGGTCCATTATGGTCTGGCCACATGTGAAGGTTGTAAGGTAAAGTAGTATGTGAATGGGTATAGTCCTAAGGGAGCTGAGAATGAACATTGGGAAATTTGTAATATGTTTTAAGTCATATTGTCAACGTGTGACTACTGTCCATGTAGAGTCATATTGTCAATGTGAAAATGAAGAGCAATAATTTCAAAAATATTAGGATTACTTTAACTTCATTTTAGAAGTAAAAATATTAAATACCCAATTTTGTAATTACACTGCAGAAGATGTGTGTTTTAAAAGGTTTGTTAGGATATGTGATCTGGAAAGCTGGAAAGAAATCATAGACTCTTTATAATGAATGTGAAGGTTTACAAGGGGAGATAGTGTAGATGTCATACTCTGTGCATACCACTAAAAAGAGTAAGTCTTCATCAGTCCCTCTTGGTATGAAAGTTGTGTGAAACATTTGTTCAGTTTAAGGCCATTGCTGCTGTGTAAGGTTGTCACCAGCTGAATGTGTTCCAGGGCTTCTTCAAGAGAAGCATCCCCAAGGGAGATAAGTACAAGTGTTTCTTCGGAGGCCAATGTATCATCACTCCGCAAAACAGGAACAGATGTAAGTCATGTCGCTACAGGAAGTGCCTGGAGCTCGGCATGTCTTTTGAAGGTCAGTTATTGTTACATGTGATGATTAAACCTAGTTGGTAAGGCATTATCTTGTCATTAGACTTCTATCATCTAACTTGGTTTAACCCCAGGAGGCCAAGGGTATATTTCTGATGCACATTTTCATAAAGTCTGAAGTGAACATTGTGTGTTTTGCACGTCACTGGATCTACCTGTGGCTATTAAATTACACAGAAACATAGAATATTAAATTTCCTATCTGATGGTGTAAATTCAAGAGTGGTTTGTGAAATAGACACTACTTATGTGTAAAAAGCAGTAAATTTCTCTTCTTTCTATCGTAGACCAATAAAAGCACTTTTCAACCATTGTTTTAATTTGACATCTTTATAGAAAGTGTGAGCAAACAAAATTACTGCCTGATATCTGAACGGCATAAGTATATATCAAATGGATTTTGTGTGCTTACGTATAATGTTATACATTCAATATAAATGGCGAAAATGAATTTTCCTCTCTGACGTCAAATGGTGACAGAGGTCACACATGCATAAAGACAAGGGTCATTGTAACTCCGGTCACTTGGAGAGAATTTGCTGGGGCTGAGGACACAGCAAACACTAGTCCTGGTTATCAAAGTGATCACTCTTTAATCAATTTACGACCCGTGAAGGTCCGGATTAGAATGTGCCTTCAGTAAGCCCATGCTTGTCATAAGAGGCGACTAACGGGATCGGGTGGTCAGGCTCACTGACTTGGTTGACACATGTCATCGGTTCCCAATTGCTCAGACTGATGCTCATGCTGATGATCACTGGATTGTCTGGTCCAGACTCGATTATGTACAGACCGCTGCCATATAGCTGGAATATTGCTGGATGCGGCATAAAACTAAACTCACTCACTCACTCACTTAATCAATTTACATTTTGTATTTGGATTACAATAACCAAAACATACCTACTGGAAATTAAACAGCTCCCTTTTGAAAGATATTGAAAAATATAGACTATCTAAAAACAGTTCCTGCGACAATCTCAAATGTTAAAAAACAATAAGCTTGACTTGTTTTTGATATGAATATCATAGATGACATCAATATAGCTGAAATGTATTTTAGAATTAATGATCAGCTCTTTTTGGAAATTTTATTAATGGATATAAGAGGTAAGACAATATCATATGCTTCATATAAAAAAAGAGAACAAACTAAAAAAGTAGTGCTATTGATAGAAATGATAGAAAAACTGGAAAAATACCTTAATATTGATTTCCAATTGTAAAACAAGAAATGAACTAACAACATGAGAAAACATAAAGTGGAAGATGTTTTATAAGATCCAGATCAAGATAGATTGAAGATCAGGAGAAACAGTATTTTTGTAGTCTTGAAAATAGAAACTTTCTAAGGAAAGTAATGACTCTTTTATGAGAATTTATATCAATGTCATGAACAGGAAGTAGACCACAGCTATAATTTAATGATGGCAATATCCTAACAGTGAGCTAACAATTGTCTTAAAGTTTAGAAAACTACTTGAAGAACTTCTAAATGCATTAAAATCAATGGAGGACAATAAGACATTTGAAAATGTGATTCAAAGTTTAGACACCTTTGCTAGGATTTCAATTTTAAGAATAAACAATTATGAAAAGTCAGAAGTAGTCTGGATTGGGTCGAAGGAAAATAGTAAAGATAAGTACAGACCTGACCTTAACTTAAGATGTTGAAGAAAATATAAAATTAGTCACACACAGAAACTTTAAGGATTTTGTTTGAATTCACCAAAGCATCGTAATGTAATCTATTTTTAATTTCCTAATTCTTGGTACGAAATCCCCTCCCATGCATATTGATCAAATGTATGTAATGAATAGACAGATGGATGTCTGAAAATTTGGGGAAATGGTACACAGTGGAAAATCTGAAGTTATCTTTGTGTAAGAAATACAGCATTAGTTTTCACACCTACTACATTATTTGTTTCTAAAATGTATGAGGAATATAGTGATGAATTTGTTGCAGCCGAGTTTGAAACACATGATGTAATTGGCATCTCATATCAGTGTAAACACAATCCAATATGGCAGAAAGCTGACGCTTTGGTATATTTGTTCATGTTTGTGTTCGTGTATTTTCTGGAACATACCAACCTATTGTAGGTTTATCAGTGACGTTTAAAAATACAGTTAGTGATTTGATGAAAAACCGTTATCAGTGATCATAAATGTTTCTTATTGAAAATACCCATGAAGATCTGGATTAGCACTGATCTTCAGTAACCCATGCTTGTTGTAAGAGGTGACTAATGGGATAGGGTGGTCAGGCTCACTGACTTGGTCGACAGATGTCATCATATCCCAATTGCTTAGATCAATGCTTATGCTGTTGATCACTGAATTGTCTGGTCCAGATTTGATTATTTACAGACCGCCGCCATATAGCTGGAATATTGCGGAGTGCGGCGTTTAACAACAACCAGCTTATTGATGGTATCATCTGTTGATTCAGGCTGTGTCTGTCTAGCAGCACTCAGGGTGGATGTAATGACCTCTGCACGTGTTCCCTACTTGCAGCTGTTAAGATGGGTCGAATTCCGAAGATGGAGAAACAGAGGGCTCTGGACGCTGCCAGGAACCCTGGTGGCTGTGCCGAATCTCCGGACAGTGGGATAGACGATGATGCATTCAACGCTGTCGCACGTCACGTAACTGATCATGTGACCAATCAGTTGACTAATCAAGTGACCAGCCAAATGTCCAAACTTCTCAGCAGTGACGTGGCTCCCCACCAATTCTGTAGTTATGGTAACAGCTCTGGTGAAGTGCCCCGCCCTCAGTCCTCATCCTCTTATCAGCACGTAGCCACCCACTTGTACAGTGAAGCTTTTCCTCACGTACCATGGAATGATGATATTGGTAGTTTTTCTGAACCAAACAGAGATCAGCCCAAGGAGCCCTGTCCTGTGGATAACCTGGACGGATCTGGAACCTCCAATATGAACTTACTGGCAGAAACAGCCTTGTTGCCAAAGACGTCCAAAAGCAGTGTTCCTGAAGCAGCTTCAGTCAGTGATGACAGCAACACGTCCAGCAACAGTTGTTCCATGTACAGCCCGAACGTCATCAAGGTGTTGTTCAATCAGGTTGTGGAGATGACAGGCGGCAACAAGGTGTCGGAGATTGTCATTGAGAAACTTGCCAAGAAGTGCCCGGACAATAGCAGCATGCGTCTGCTGAAACGTCTGTCCAGTGAAACTTACATCAATACAGCCAGCAATACAACTGAAACCGCCAGTTCTGTTCCTAATGCAGTGAGAGAGTCAGGACAAGAGTGGTCTCCCTTGGCTGGTCAGTTGTTTACGTCCAGCGGATGTCAGTCATCAAATTGGAACAAAACTGGTTTAAAGCAGGACAGTTTCAGTCCAAGTGAGCAGCAGACAAAGTATTTTGAGAGTTCTGTCTTCCTACATGACGACGATCCTTCAGATACCATTGGAAGCACTGCCTCAAGCAGGGACATGGTATGGATGCCCAGTATGTTGCTAGCAGTGACACGGACTTCTACACCAGTGAACATCCAGATCAACAGGTGCATTCTTTTCATCAAGACATGTTCACGCAGGATCCGTCCTATCAGGTTCAAGGTCAGGATGAAGGTCAGGGTCATCCATGGCATATGGATTGTTCTGCTACTGTTTCAGCACAATCAGCACAATACACCAATCCTACTGAATCCAACTGGTCACATGATCAGGATCAACCAATCGATTCTTCTGACACAGAAATGATACAAAGCAGTGATGCCATTGACAGATCTGATGATGTTGAAACAGAAACTGTTGAAAGTTCAGCAGATGACATTTTCGACAAAGGTGGTGAAGAAGCCTTTGATGCTTTAGTTAAAGGCCTTGAGAAGGCCCTGGAGGTCGGCAGTGGACCATATCTTGAAGCCAGACATCATGCCCGAATCTTCATCCAGCAGAAGGTGAGGCCTGTTATTCAAGTGCTGTCCAGTGATTTGTTGGTATCTTTTATCACTGTAATAGTTATGTCCTCTCACTTGGACTGAAATATATGTTTGCATGTTTGAATGTATCCTTCAGAATGGATTATTTTTCTGTGAAGGTGGAGCATTTCAGTGAAAAGAGCAGTAAGTGAGGATGTCACTGTAAGTGTGGAGTATATCATTGAAAGAGTGGAGTATATCCCTGTAAGAGTGGCGTGTATCCCTGTAAGAGAGGAGTATATCCCTGTAAGAGTGGTGTATATCCCTGTAAGGAGTATATCCTGTATGCCTGTAAGAGTGGCGTATATCCCTGTAAGAGTGGTGTATATCCCTGTAAGAGTGGAGTATATCCCTGTAAGAGTGGTATATCCCTGTAAGAGAGGAGTATATCCCTGTAAGAGTGGCGTATATCCCTGTAAGAGTGGCGTATATCCCTATCCCTGTAAGAGATGTATATCCTGAAAGAGTATATCCCTGTAAGAGAGGTGTATATCCCTGTAAAGATCCCTGGGCGTATATCCCTGTAAGAGAGGAGCAGTATATCCCTGTAAGAGTGGAGTATATCCCTGTAAGAGTGTAAGGTATATCCCTGTAAGAGGTGAGTATATCCCTGTGGTATAGGAGGTATAAGAGCCGTATATCCCTGTAAAGGTATATCCTGTAAGAGGAGATCCCTGTAGGGAGTATATCCCTGTAAGAGAGGAGTATATCCCTGTAAGAGAGGAGTATATCCCTGTAAGAGAGGAGTATATCCCTGTAAGAGTAAGAGGGGAGTATATCCCTGTAAGAGGGAGTATATCCCTGGAGTATATCCCTGTAAGAGAGGAGTATATCCCTGTAAGAGGGTAGTATATCCTGTAAGAGAGGGAGTATATCCCTGTAAGAGGGAGTATATCCCTGTAAGAGGTGTATATCCCTGTAAGAGTTTGGGTATATCCCTGTAAGAGAGGCCGTATATCCCTGTAAGAGATATCCCTGTGGAGTATATCCCTGTAAGAGTGGCGTATATCCCTGTAAGTGGAGCATATCCCTGTCAGAGAGGAGCATATCTCTGTGAGGGCTCTATATTGTCCCTGTTAAAATAACTTGCCCATTGCCATGTTTGTGTTTCAGCTTCCGATGCCAAGGGAGGAAATAACTGAAGAAACTGTGAAGGACACATGGAACCAGCTGTTCCGAGGAGTTCACACCACCAATGAGAGAATCATAGGTTAGTTCAACTACCTCACATATCATGACAACATACTTCATTGACAAGAAAATGATTTTAGTAGTAAAAACATTCTTGTAGGACAAAGAATGAAGACTGTGAGATAAACTGTGTTTCAGTGTTTCGGTATTAACGGTCTGTCGAATTTTTTGGATCTGTAATGTCTCACAGAATATATAACAAGGTAGATTTTTCTAAGCGGACCTGGTGAAAGTAAAAATGTGTTTGTATACTCTTCCTTCATTGACACGGTGCAGAGTTGCATCCCAGAAACCTGTGATCTAGTGCTTGAATCCCAGACTCACCCTGAGTATGTGTCCCTGAGTATGTGTCCCAGTTTGTCAACACCTGAGTATGTGTCCCAGTTTGTCAACACCTGAGTATGTGTCCCAGTTTGTCAACACCTGAGTATGTGTCCCAGTTTGTCAACACCTGAGTATGTGTCCCAGTTTGTCAACACCTGAGCATGTGTCCCAGTTTGTCAACACCTGAGCATGTGTCCCAGTTTGTCAACACCTGAGTATGTGTCCCAGTTTGTCAACACCTGAGTATGTGTCTCAGTTTGTCAACACCAGACTCAAGGTTCCACTTTAGTAGTATGGTGTGGAAATCCTGAATTACTTCTGCCTAACCTCCTGTATCCTGTGATGTTTAACTGCAGTACTATTAGAAGCTGGGCTGAACTGAACTCACCCACTGGCTCATGTACTGTTTGTTGATTAACACCATATTCAGTAATATTCCAGCTATGTGGCAGCATTCTGTAAATTATGAGTCTGGACCAGACAATACAGTGATCAACAGGATGAGTATTGTCCCTTGGCATAGGACAGGGGCGGAAATAACCCATTGCCCGACGTCCAAGTCCAGTGTTTTTTTCTGTCGGGCAAGCTTATTTGTATATCACACTGTACCTGTGTCCAGTTGACTTTCCAATGTTAATTATGTTGTTTATTTAAAAAATCAACAAGGAAACGGTCAGTATAGTGGACAAATTATGAGGGCAAGTGATTTTACATGTGCCACTGTACTGGAGTACACTAGCAAGTTTAAAGTTATTCTCACACCTGATAGGAGTGAGTGAGTGAGTTTAGTTTTACGCCGCACTCAGTAATATCCCAGCTGTATGGCGGTCTGTAAATAATCGAGTCTGGACCAGACAATTAAGTGATCAACAGCATGAGCATCGATCTGCGCAATTGGGAACCGCTGACATGTGTCAACCAAGTCAGCAGCCTGACCACCCGATCCCGTTAGTCGCCTCTTACGACAAGCATGGGTTGCTGAAGACCTATATTCTAACCCGGATCTTCACGGGTCAATTGGTATAGGATGATGTTTGTGAAACACATGGTTGAGTATAACCACCTGATGCCTCTTACACCAAAACATCGGTCATTATTCTCTCACCATGAGGGACGCCTCCGTGGTGAGTGGTTATAAGTCGATCCGGAGGAGAGAGGAAGGTCGCGAGGTTGATCCCCCGTCATACCAAAAAGGCGTTAAAATATGGTACTTGTTGGTCCCTGCCTTGTGCTCAGCATTAATGGGTACAACAAGGACTGAATCGGCTCGAGGAGTCAGTATATTGTGTCTGAGTGGGGTATTCATGCTTCACTGCGGCATGGTATCTCAGTGGGCTAGCACTATAAAACCAGCTGAAGTCTGGGCTAGTACAAGCAGCCGCATACATACACATACACATGCATGCGCGTCGTCATATGAGCGAAATATTCTCAAGAGCGGCGTAAAACTCAGTTTCACCTCACCTCATCATGTGAAACAGTGAAATTTGTGGGGAAATAAATATAGGTGGATGCAGGCAGTGTGTTTGCTGCCTCACTGTGTGTGGTTTGAATCCCACAGAGAACCAGGAGTCTGACTATGTCTGAGTATTGTCCCTTTGACATGGCAGGATCTGGTGGTTCCTCCAGGTGAGGATCTTTGGTGTAGCATGACAGTGTATGTTGGTTTCTCCATCTCTGATATCTAACCCGCCATAGCCAAGTGAGTGAGTGAGTGAGTAAGTATGGTTTTACGCCACTTTTAGCAACATTCCAGCAATATCACGGCGGGGGACCCATAACCAAGATCAAACATTGTGTTATATGCAAGTAACTGTTTAAACTTGTGTTCCAGGTTTCTGCAATGCTGTCCCTGGCTTCTCGAAAATCAATGTAGAGGACCAGAAGATGCTGTTGAAGCATGCCTACTACGATATCTGGATGGTAGGTGTGACATTGTGGGGCTGATGACTTGATGATATCATTGTGGGGCTGATATCTGGATGGTAGGTGTGACATTGTGGGGCTGATGACTTGATGATGATATCATTGTGGGGCTGATATCTGGATGGTAGGTGGGACATTGTGGGGCTGATGACTTAACAATGATATCTGGATGGTAAGTGGGACATTGTGGGGGCTGATGACTTAACAATGATGTCTGGATGGTAGGTGGGACATTGTGGGGCTGATGACTTAACAATGATATCGGGATGGTAGGTGGGACATTGTGGGGCTGATGACTTAACAATGATGTCAGGATGGAAGGTGGGACATTGTGGGGCTGATGACTTAACAATGATGTCGGGATGGAAGGTGGGACATTGTGGGGCTGATGACTTAACAATGATGTCTGGATGGATGGAAGGTGGGACATTGTGGGGCTGATGACTTAACAATGATGTCTTGATGGAAGGTGGGACATTGTGGGGCTGATGACTTAACAATGATGTCTTGGATGGAAGGTGGGACATTGTGGGGCTGATGACTTAACAATGATGTCTGGATGGTAGGTGGGACATTGGGGCTGATGACTTAACAATGATATCTGGATGGTAGGTGGGACATTGGGGCTGATGACTTAACAATGATATCTGGATGGTAGGTGGGACATTTGGGGCTGATGACTTAACAATGATATCTGGATGGTAGGTGGGACATTGGGGCTGATGACTTAACAATGATATCTGGATGGTAGGTGGGACATTGGGGCTGATGACTTAACAATGATATCTGGATGGTAGGTGGGACATTGGGGCTGATGACTTAACAATGATGTCTGGATGGTAGGTGGGACATTTGTGGGGCTGATGACTTAACAATGATATCTGGATGGTAGGTGGGACATTGTGGGGCTGATGACTTAACAATGATGTCTGGATGGTAGGTGGGACATTATTGGGGCTGATGACTTAACAATGATGTCTGGATGGTAGGTGGGACATTATCAGGGGCTGATGACTTAACAATGATGTCTGGATGGTAGGTGGGACATTGTGGGGCTGATGACTTAACAATGATGTCGGGATGGTAGGTGGGACATTGTGGGGCTGATGACTTAACAATGATGTCTGGATGGAAGGTGGGACATTTGGGGCTGATGACTTAACAATGATATCTGGATGGTAGGTGGGACATTTGGGCTGATGACTTAACAATGATGTCTTGATGGAAGGTGGGACATTGTGGGGCTGATGACTTAACAATGATATCTGGATGGTAGGTGGGACATTGGGGCTGATGACTTAACAATGATATCTGGATGGTAGGTGGGACATTGTGGGGCTGATGACTTAACAATGATGTCTGGATGGTAGGTGGGACATTGGGGCTGATGACTTAACAATGATGTCGGGGATGGTAGGTGGGACATTGTGGGGCTGATAACTAACTTATAGTACTACTGTGGTAAACATGACAGTGTGTACACACAGATGGCTCACAGAACCGTATTCCCCCTGATAAACCTCCACCTTATAGTACTACTGTGGTAAACATGACAGTGTGTACACACAGATGACTCACAGAACCGTATTCCCCCTGATAAACCTCCACCTTATAGTACTACTGTGGTAAACATGACAGTGTGTACACACAGATGGCTCACAGAACCGTATTCCCCCTGATAAACCTCCACCTTATAGTACTACTGTGGTAAACATGACAGTGTGTACACACAGATGACTCACAGAACCGTATTCCCCCTGATAAACTTATAGTACTACTGTGGTAAACATGACAGTGTGTACACACAGATGACTCACTGACATTATTCCCCCTGATAAACCTCCACCTTATAGTACTACTGTGGTAAACATGACAGTGTGTACACACAGATGACTCACAGAACCGTATTCCCCCTGATAAACCTCCACCTTATAGTACTACTGTGGTAAACATGACAGTGTGTACACACAGATGACTCACAGAACCGTATTCCCCCTGATAAACCTCCACCTTATAGTACTTCCATGCATTGATTTGTTGTAAGATAATCTAAATATTTGTTCTAGATAATCTCGGATTGAAGGATTCTGTCGCAATTCAGAAGCTCAACTCTGTGTACCTTGACCTCCTCGTCCACATCATCACCAAGAGCAACCCCGACAACAGCAGCCGTATCCTGGTGGACATCTTCCGACTACTTCCACAGCTGGTGGAGGTCAACAACATGCAGCAAAGCCTTATTGCTAACTTCACACAAGATGCTCCACCCAGTTAAACACCCTATGAGATGTTCAAACGTGGGTTAAAGATCATTTTCTATCCAATTGGTTGAATATCACATGCAATGTTCCATCCAGTGTTCCATCGAGTTGGTTAAAGAGTACACTTGATATTCGACCAAGTTGGACAAAGATGACACACGCGCATTATGTTCCATCGAGTTGGTTGACGAAAACACTCGAAGTTCACTAAAGTTGGGTAAGGTTATGCTCGATATTCCCAATATCATTCATTCAGTTAGCTACAGGTCAAACAATGTCATTCATTCAGTTAGCTACATGTCACGTAATGTGATTCATTAAGTTAGGTACAGGTCCACAATGTCATTCATTCAGTTAGCTACAGGTCACACAATGTGATTCATTCAGTTAGCTACATGTCACACAATGTGATTCATTCAGTTAGCTACAGGTCACTAAATGTGATTCATTCTATTAGATACATGTCATATAATGTGATTCATTCAGTTAGCTACATGTCACACAACGTGATTCATTCAGTTAGCTACAGGTCATAAAATGTCATTCATTCAGTTAGCTTAGCAATGTGATTCATGTCATACACACAATGTGATTCATTCAGTTAGCTACATGTCACACAATGTGATTCATTCAGTTAGCTACAGGATTCATTCAGTTAGCTACATGTCACACAATGTGATTCATTCAGTTAGCTACATGTCACACAATGTGATTCATTCAGTTAGCTACATGTCACACAATGTGATTCATTCAGTTAGCTACAGGTCACACAATGTGATTCATTCAGTTAGCTACATGTCATACAATGTGATTCATTCAGTTAGCTACATGTCACACATATAATGTGATTCATTCAGTTAGCTACAGGTCACACAATGTGATTCATTCAGTTAGCTACATGTCATATAATGTGATTCATTCAGTTAGCTACATGTCACACAATGTGATTCATTCAGTTAGCTACAGGTCACTAAATGTGATTCATTCAGTTAGCTACATGTCATATAATGTGATTCATTCAGTTAGCTACATGTCACACAATGTGATTCATTCAGTTAGCTACATGTCATAAAATGTGATTCATTCAGTTAGCTACATGTCACACAATGTGATTCATTCAGTTAGCTACATGTCACACAATGTGATTCATTCAGTTAGCTACATGTCACACAATGTGATTCATTCAGTTAGCTACATGTCACACAATGTGATTCATTCAGTTAGCTACAGGTCACACAATGTGATTCATTCAGTTAGCTACATGTCACATAATGTGATTCATTCAGTTAGCTACATGTCATATAATGTGATTCATTCAGTTAGCTACATGTCACTAAATGTGATTCATTCAGTTAGCTACATGTCACACAATGTGATTCATTCAGTTAGCTACATGTCACACAATGTGATTCATGCAGTTAGCTACATGTCACACAATGTGATTCATTCAGTTAGCTACATGTCATATAATGTGATTCATTCAGTTAGCTACATGTCACACAATGTGATTCATTCAGTTAGCTACAGGTCATATAACATGATTCATTCAGTTAGCTACAGGTCATAAAATGTCATTCATTCAGTTAGCTACATGTCACACAATGTGATTCATTCAGTTAGCTACATGTCACACAATGTGATTCATTCAGTTAGCTACAGGTCATAAAATGTGATTCATTCAGTTAGCTACATGTCACACAATGTGATTCATTCAGTTAGCTACATGTCACACAATGTGATTAATGTGATTACATTCAGTTAGCTACAGGTCACTACAATGTGATTCATTCAGTTAGCTACAGGTCATAAATGTGATTCATTCAGTTAGCTACATGTCACACAATGTGATTCATTCAGTTAGCTACATGTCATATAATGTCATTCATTCAGTTAGCTACATGTCACACAATGTGATTCATTCAGTTAGCTACATGTCACACAATGTGATTCATTCAGTTAGCTACATGTCACACAGTGTGATTCATTCAGTTAGCTACAGGTCATAAAATGCGATTCATTCAGTTAGCTTTAGGTCATATAATGTGATTCATTCAGTTAGCTACAGGTCATAAAATGCGATTCATTCAGTTAGCTTCAGGTCATATAACGTGATTCATTCAGTTAGCTACATGTCACACAATGTCATTCATTCAGTTAGCTACATGTCATACAATGTCATTCATTCAGTTAGCTACATGTCACACAATGTGATTCATTCAGTTAGCTACAGGTCACACAATGTGATTCATTCAGTTAGCTACAGGTCATATAATGTGATTCATTCAGTTAGCTACAGGTCATATAAATGTGATTCATTCAGTTAGCTACATGTCACACAATGTGATTCATTCAGTTAGCTACATGTCATATAATGTCATTCATTCAGTTAGCTACATGTCACACAATGTGATTCATTCAGTTAGCTACATGTCACACAATGTGATTCATTCAGTTAGCTACATGTCACACAATGTGATTCATTCAGTTAGCTACAGGTCACACAATGTGATTCATTCAGTTAGCTACAGGTCATATAATGTGATTCATTCAGTTAGCTACATGTCACACGATGTCATTCATTCAGTTAGCTACAGGTCATAATGTCATTCATTCAGTTAGCATCATGTCACACAATGTGATTCATTCAGTTAGCTACATGTCACACAATGTGATTCATTCAGTTAGCTACATGTCACACAATGTGATTCATTCAGTTAGCTACATGTCACA